TATTTAATTACTTAAGTAGGCACATACGTTAACTCAACGTTACCCCAGCTCCACTCGGAGAAAAATTGATTTCACTCGAAAACGTTAGAGCAGGAATTATAAATAGCTGGGCTGGAAGTGACAATAATTGAGAACTAATTGTTGGCACGAAGAAAATTGCAAAAATCAGATGGTGTACGTAATTTTTTTGTCATGATGATATTTTATTTTTCAATTCTACCACTCGTCAGTGTTTATGAGTGTAGTATATTACTTACCCATTAATAAGGATAGGTACAAATCAAATAACTTGTGTCATGATTGTATACATAATATAAATAAAATATTTAATTCGAAAATGTCATAATTAAGCTGAAATTTCACAAAAAATAATGTGGCAAAAAATATATGTGGTGGTTCCATACTCCATGTTTATATCGTATACGGCACTCAAGTCTCAAAAAATTTGAGAAAAAAATTGTTATTGTTTTAGAAGTGGGCGATTTCTGTCTTTATTGGAAACCAAATAGCACGAGCATTATTTTCGGCTGGCGATAACTGTGCCCCGCGACGACATTTGTTTGTCATTGAATAGAATCAACGATAAGTCGATAATATAATATTTTATAATTAGCTGGAACTACCAACAATAATACTTTTATAAAAATTGATTAATGAAAATGAAAATTGTTTTTTTATTATTTACACTCTTTCCTTGTTGGCTTGTTATACCAAGGTCATGCCTCTTTGGCTTCTTTTTTCTAGCACCTTAAACTTTTCCAATAAAATTGTGCTGACTGTATACTATACACTCAACAAATATTTGATGGCGACATCAGGGGTCCCATCTATATTTCCGCATGTAGTAACCAGACTTAATAAATACAGTTTTTTCTTTTTCGTTATTTTACCATAATTGAACCGTTATAGGCACTAGGTGCAACATCATAATAATATACTGCAAAAGGTATACAAGGAAAATTAATAAAAATTAAACATTAGGTCCTCAAATGCGTTTTTGTTCTAAAATACCGTTTAGTCGTTTGTTTAATGAACACTGTAGTATATATCATATCATATAGTTATTCATCGTCGAAAATATTTCAAACTAATTTGTGAAATAATTTTTTTTAAACACAATTTATTATAATACAGCCGTGTCTCGATAACTGGCATCTCAATAAGGGGAATACAAATAAATTCGGTGTATGTATTTATTGAATTATTGAAATCAAAGACAACATAAACACACTTCAAGGGTGGCTACAAAAAAATTGATGAACAATTGATGAAAAATTTGAGACTCGAATATAATACTGGTATGTATAAGTACAACTACGATCCCTTAAGTTCGCGCTGACAATCGCCCTCCTTCAACTCGTTTCGAACTCGACCTCTGACATACCATCGTTGGTCACTGAGGAAATTGAAAGAAAACTATTCGATCTGTCATTGCTGTCATACTGAGACGTGTTTAATACTGGTAATATAATAAATTATATATCATTAGGTCACTGGGAAATCGACGACCATCAGATGATTGAATGGTTCTATTATATTTACTGTGGCCGTGTAGATCGGCGAGAGCCGAGAGGTAATAAAGCGGCATTCAATCTCGAATTTTTCAATTCGCATAATAATATATTATAATCTCCCACAGCCCCACTCGACATTTTTCTAAAAATGTCAGTCCACTTCAGTATAGTAATGTTTGTCAAAAATCGCTGTTATTTAGACGAAATGTTTATAAATTCAAAATAACCATTAACCGATTTTTGAGACCCTTAAGCTAAAGTTATATGAGTCGATACCTATATGGTTTCTACATTATCGGATCAGAAAAATAAAAGTTGCAAATATTATAACGAAAAAACTGAAAGAAATTATTGATAACTCAAAACATAGATAATCATATTCAAAACAAAACTATTGAATTTTTTTTCATTTTTATGAATATTTGCATTGATGCAATAATATTTTATAAGTATGTAGGTATTGTTATTTTTTAATAACAGGAGATGTATGATTTCTCTTATATTCTTGATAATTTATTATTTTGGAAGTTACAAAAAAGTTTTGGCATTCAATGAAATTAAACTTATTGGAAAATAAAAAATGATCAACCTCAAGTATTTATAGACTAAATTAAACATATTATACCTAAATCTAGGCCATAATAAACTTTTGTTTTGCTAATTTTTTTCAACAGAAAAACATGGTATCATAGCTTTGATCCGGCTAATTATAATAAACTAAAACCATTGATTAAATATATCATTAATCAATTCTTAAGCTTACAAATTTTAATCTCATTTTTAATGGCAATCAATCATTCGTATTGTTTTTAACATGTTCTCACGATCACCATTTAATAAATATTGAAATAATACTATGTATTTACATATTGAAAAAATAAATGTAAAAGAGGTATTATATTAAAAATTTGTTTTTATTGATATGATATCTGTTTTTTTAAATAATAGTTTGGTAAACAACAAAATTCCAAAGTTATTTATTTAGTGAAAAATAATTACCAATCAAAACTAATAGAAACCAAATTAAATTATCTGAATGTCACCTACTGTCTCGGCCATGTGACAACAGTATATCAGAAGTAAATTTAATTTTAAAGCACTATCGAGCCTTAGGGTCAAGAAAACATATTCCCAAATCGTAAGTTTCATTTAAAAGTTAAAACAACAAAGTTTCAATGTTCGTAGCATATATACAATCGTTATGTCATCGTAACTATACAAACTATTTGTTTTCGCATTATTTGATTATTTAATAACTGGAATACAGAATACAGCTACTTAGTTATATAGGTATTCACTCTTTCGGATGCATTCATATAATTTACTTTTATCTTTGAAATTGTATATTATGCAAAGCAGATTTCACATACGATTATTGTGTATTATATATACACAATTCACATATTAAATAATTATCTATTAACAGGAAAATCATACTTAAACAGAAGTTGGAACGAAAAGACAATTCATGTGACTGCAAGTCTTGAAACATTTAAAAGTTTTCATACTTGAGTAGAAGATGTTCGTTACAAATGTCGAGACAACACACAATAAAACAAAAAATAAAATGATAATACATGTACTTTTAACATAATGCCTGCATGTTTTATTAAACATGTGCGTGTTGCGTCGCCATTCGTGGTAGACGTCCTACTACCAAAATGTTCAAGGAATTTAATGCAAAATCCAATAATATCAATCAAAATACCGAATAAAATATTATAATATACTTGTATGGCTATATGTATTTATAACTTAGTCTGGTTTTAAAATATAGTTTTTACGGGGAAAAAATAATTTATGATGTTAAACTTAGACCATTTTTATAAAATAAACTACTATATAATTGCTGTAATTCAATTATTATACTGTTTTACATTTTTTTTCTTAATATATACATGTACTCTTTGATATTTTGTACCTATTTAATTTACAATGTAAAATACAATAATTTTTTGTCAAAATTTAAAGTGAAAGTTATACATAACTTTTAATTTAAGTATATACTTCACTATACATCACAATATTGATATATTTAATGTAGAACATAAGCCAATATTATTATATGACTACATATTAAGTATTAATGGTTTGACATTATTTATGCCTTGTTTCAGTATGTACTATGTACTGCAACTGTATAACTTTGATAAACATCATTTACACCAAAATTATTAGTTTAGATGTTTGAAGGAGAATAATTCACATATAAAATAAAACTATTTACCTACCTATACGGTTTAAATAAAATGCATAAGTACAGCGAAATAAAACTAATAAAAATAAGGTATATTTCACAAAAAACGACAGGTTTGAACTTCGAATTATTCCATATGTATGCATTTAATAAAATATTAATATTTATTACACTCGTGTTATTGTTATGAGCATGCAGGCTTAAACTTTGTATTACTAAACAGTGACTCAAATATTGTGTGAATGATTATACAATGAAGATGCTGTCAAATAACGTTTAAAATCAAATGTTATTGTATCATAATATTAATTTAAAGCTTTTTTTTTTATTTGTACATTTCTAACAAGTCGATCACTATTTTGACACATTTGATACGCACACTTCAACGCCTAAGTCTCGAGTGCATCTTTTCACCCATCCATTAGAAAAATGTATTTTTTAATTCATTAACACATTGAATTTTAATTACAAAAAAATTAAAAACATAAAAGTAACATTCAAAATAACAATATTAAAATTTTACTAAAAACTTGTTTATTTAAAATAATATACTTAACACTTACTACATACCACCTAATTAATGTGATTTAATGTTACATTAAATCACAGTTCAAAAAGTTGTAAACTCAATCAAGTTTGAGCCCTATCAGTTTATTATAGTTCTGTGAGTATGTGGGGTGAACAACTGCTGTACAGTGATTAGTATAAGGACGTAATTTTAACCACCATTCAGCACGTCTGTGTTTAATTAGGTGGTCATGTGGTGTGCACACAATGTTCGTGGTCGGAGAGTTCATCATTTTTCCGACTCATTACAAAAATGTATTTTTAAATTCATTAACATATTGCAGTTCAATTCAGAAAAATAAATACATACAAATTACATTCAAAATAGCAGACAATTCTAATAAAAACTTGTTGATTTGACATGACTTATACACATGGCGTTAAATATTTAAATCATCTCAGGGCTAAAAAACTGAAAAACTGTAAAAAACAGAATAACTTTCAAGATAAAATTTAGATATTTGTTCAAGTTGGTAGGTACGTGGTTTTTAAATGATGAGCTCTATTTTAAGATTATTTTATAGGTAATCTCGATGGTTCAAATACTATTTTAAACCAATAAAATCCTTCAAATTGTCGAAAATAATTTATTTAGTTTAAATTAGTTGGCCTATTGGTAAGTCTTCAAACCATTACAAATACAATTAATAATCGTTAACAACATAAAGCATATTATTGTTTATATGACAAAAAAATCTTTTATTTTTATTTAGAAATACACCATGGACGTAAAAGTTTTGCATTGTTTAATTGATGCACTGAAAGTAGCCGGTTGCTGTGTATATAAAGACAGTATACCAATTTTGTACAATTCGTTAATTAAATTACAAAGTGAAAATCATTTCAGTTCTGTATATTTGTGGGGCCGTATTGAAACATCGACGATTGATTATTATATTGCTTATGGTCACCAAAAGGATCCAATTGAGAATAGGATATTTTTTTATACGTAAGTTTACAAATACTGCATCATTTGGATGATAAGTTTCAGACCCATAATTATTGCAAAGTCCGTCTTATTTGAAGTTAGACTGTTAGTACGTTTGAATGAGATCATATAATATGTACACAAGTCGCTCGACAATTTCCTTAACGATTTATTGTATTATTATAATAACAGTCAAAACATGTTGGAATGGGACATAATGCCCACCGATTGGTCAACCCTTGAAACAGTTATGGTACGACAAATAAAAACCAAGTTGCACGGTAATCCAAGATATGTGGAAACGATGGATAACTTAAATGACAAGTCACAGGAAAAACAGGAAACAACAGAATATCCAATAGCATCTAATGTAGTGTTAAAATTTGATGATTACGCAGAAGGTGGGGAAGAAGATGCAAATAATGCGGAAAGTTTAACTTATAATGATGTAGTATCAGTCACTGCAGAAACCAACGAAATGATCGAGATGGTATAGACCAGAGTACTCTCTGTTACAATACAATTGTAATACTTATTAATTTGATGTATTTTAGGAATCTGCTTTTAATGAACCTTCTAATTTAAAACTTTCACTAAAAGAGGAGGATAGACTAGCTATAACCGTTCAAATGATTGACAACGAAAGTCACATAGTGCCACGAGGATTTTTTTACAAGTTACCTGATGGACACGTAACCAAAGCTCCTTACTTCAATGGTACAACATTTTATCAAACTAAATTTTTAAATTATTTATAAGAAGAAAAATATTATGTGTTTTTAGGCTTAGATCATTCTGAAATTGGAAATGAAAACAATTTTTTACACATAAATCAACAATATTGTCAACCAAAAGTTCTAAACAATGATGTACGACCAGACTACAATGGATCCATTGATTTTTTACAATCGATCGATAAGGACATACCAAAAGGTACATTATTGGATAATATTGGCTTATTACTTTCTTTAGACAACAATTATTAATGAGTTCTTTTAATTTTATATTAGGATGTTGGGCGTCTCGGATTTGTTCAAATCGATATTTTATTATTCACAATTTGCTATGGCCGGGTGCTGTGTATGTCCAAGATATGAATACTGGTAAACATGGTTACTTCTACAACGGATATGGCCTGAAAAACTTAGATTTGCCGTTTATGATCTAATGTCATATCGTTTTCTTATAGGTATATTAAAGTATTTTTTGTAAATAATTTTTATCACACTTTAGTCAGAGTTGTTATAATTTATACAGTTAATGTGAATTTATAAATATTATTTGTGATAGATATTTTGGTTGTCGACTTTACTAATTATAATAACATCATCTTGATTAAATGGCTATAAATCGTGTATAGTTTTGGTTGTCATGTTACCGACGTCCATTCTGAACACAGTAAATACTTATTACCTATTTTAATGATATAATGTGTATATTCTAGATTGGTACATAAGAATTTCCTAGCTATACAATATTTATACGAGAAGTCTAAACTAGAGCGATTCCAAATTTAGATTATTTAAAATATATTATTATTTTATCATCGCTTCTGTTATCATGATAATATTTATTTAAATTTCAAGCCGTCATTATACATCATACTTCAAACCATATATTACATTTTAAGAGGCTTACAAAGTTTAAAAAAATATTGAGTTTTGTTTAATAATTGTATTAATTTTTTATTGATGTACGAATTTCGTTTAGTGAACTATAGAAACTAAAATAATATCAATACATAATATTACCTTGTTATATAATTGGACCTTATTTGGATCACAAAGATTTAAAAAAAAAAAATGATTAATAAGGACTAAATAAAAATAAAATTGTAGTACAAATCGTTAATCAGATAAATCTGCTGCTGATTGTGTATAAGTATCAGTCAAATTATCTATTTTAGCCTTCAGGTCATAAGCTTATATCAACTACACTATAAGGTTCAGTGTCTAAATACATACAGAAAATAAAGAATTGTAAAAAAACTTATTACAATAAAAATATAAAATACCTATACCGTAACTCGGTTTAGACAAGTACTTAGATGGATTGGATTCGACGGTCAGGTGCATACTAATTTTTAGTGTGTATTTTATATTTTGTCTTATTATCTTAAAATCTGCAACTTCTGGATTGAACTCTGTTTCAATATATTAACCGTAAAAGTTGCAAATCGGTAGTCTCGATAATATGAGGTTTATATAGTTATACAATTATTTGTACTTATGTATTTAAATAGTTAATTAATAAAATGTTATATTTTAGGAAGATATATTTTGTTGATACAAATGTAATATTGATATACAGTTACTTTTTGAGCAGCTTTGTCTGCTTAAAATCAGTGGTAAATTGTTGAATAGCCAACAAGACAGTTATCTTGACATTAAGCCTGAATTTATAAATTATTATTACCAATAAAATTAAATTCACCCTCGATTGTACTGAGCGAGTAGCATATTAAATGAAGTCTTAGAAAAAACTATAATAAATAAAAAAATGAATCAAATAGAATCAAATTACAATGAATTTACAACTTGTTAAGTTATTTTATACCTGTATAAATTATTTTGCATACAAACAATAATAGGCAGTGAAGAATTTTCGTGGAGAGAAAATCAATGTTTAATAATTATAGCATAATTATATACCTATATAATCCACAGACCACAATGTAAAGATATCACTAGTATATATGCTAACTTAAAACAATAAATAAACTATTTTTAATTGGAAATTCTCGAACTTGTACGATACAATCGGGAGATTATAACATAATATGACCATATTTGTAATATAGTTAATAGTTATATTTAATTGTAGAGTGCAAATAACAATATTATTTGCATAAAAATATGTGATACGATTTAATACTTCGATGAACGTATAAAAATATAAGTCTATACGTAAGTACTAAGTACTGCAACTTATTGGTACAAATTACTAATCTACTAAATTCTTCGGTGGAATTTATTGGTTGTGTTAATTATAAGTGGTTTTAAACAAGTGAAATTACACACGCACACACAGTGATACTTTAAAAATGTATTTCTTACTCAATAAAATATCAAACAAACAGATACAATATTAAGTGTTCTGTGTAATAGTAATTTTGAGATTTAAATTTTTACACTTACATACCGTCCCCTGTTTAAAATTTGAAATATTCGAGTATCTAAGGTAAACGGCCATGATAAATAATACGGTCAAAGCCATCACTGATTATATTATATTATATCACTTGTTCATATTATATTATAATAAACTTTATACTATGTATGTCGATATGTATTTATTTTAACATACGAACTCGTACAAAGTGACGGCGTTCTGAAATGTACGTTTTTAGCCGATCGTGTAGAGTGTCCTCGTAGTAGTGAAATATTAGTTTTTGACGAACTGTTTAGTGTCCACGTCTTGCGTAAAAAATTTACAGCAGTTTTTTTCATGCAACCGATAGACATTTTCAGATTTTTACTCGTACTCTTACGGTCCATTTCCAATTATTCAACAATTAGAATTATTACTCTATTACCTAAAATGTATAGTTGTTATAACTTTTTTTAGTTTTGTTAGCATTAAAATATTATGAAGTGTGCGTACGAATCTGAGCGCGTCAAGAAAGTCGTGAACAATGTTTATGCTCAGCTAAAAACTGTACAGAAATAAGTAGAATAATTTCGAGGAGGAAGTTACAGGAACAAGTTCACGTGCCAATCAATGGCGTATTTGAGCGAGACAATTACCTACCCTTGGAAGCTGAAACCGTGGTTTATTATGACTTGTTTATAATTTAATTTATGATAAAAGAACCGGAAATGAAAAATGAAAAACGAAAAATTTAAGAAGTTGTGGGGTGTCCACTGGAACATACAACAGTACAATAGTTGTAATCACCCTCCATACTCGCTTTTGATCAAGTTTCAGTTACTCAATACTTCCGTCTTCCTTGATGGTTACAGTATGTGCATTGTGCAGTATTGCCACTACAGATGTTACCTTACTGCAGTCGGTCTGGACTATTTAAAATAATAACCCTGCACCCACTTACTGTTCTGGACTGTTGATACGTAGAGTGTACCTCCACGCCCTCCCCCATAACCACGATTTTCAAGAGTACCTAAATCATCAGCAAATTATACAAACAAGTCTCATTAAAGATTACCCACCTCCACTTTTACACCAAGTGATCTCTATTCTCGTAGCCTCCAGATTCAGTGGGCTAAGTCCTCGTACGTTTTGTACAGCTGAAAAGTATGTCTTATAATATAACACACCCATTATAGTTTCAGGAACTGCGGAACCACGCATAGGCGGTACTAGACCCTCTTGGCAGGGGGGGCCAGAAAATAGTTAAAACTATATTTTATATATTTTACTTTATTAGTCCAAAAATATAGTTGCATACCCTGCCCCTCCCGTAGTACCGCCTATGTCCGTGGTGGTGGTACTAAAAAATTCGTCATATCGATGGTTTCAAGTTGTTGAATTTTTCGAACTATCGAGACTCGATTGTATTAATTTTACACTGTCAAAATTTAACCGATGGCTGGCGAACTTTCGACTGATGATATTGTACAGAATAAATATAGCAACGTCCCGTCCCCTACCATCGACCCACAACAACGTTAGTCAAACAACGGTAACGACTCGGTGGTCCGATATATTAATATGAGATCATGTTGTACGGACGTATACCAGGTACGGTACGCTTTGTAATATTATAAAATAAATATGCTCAGACAAAACAATATTATCTAAAGCAATATTTGAATAGGTTCCTGCCATAATGTAAAATATGACATATTTTTTTATCATGCATTTTTTGTCGACGAACGTTTATGACGTATCACGTTATAAGTAATATCCGTATTACTGGATACGGCGAGTAAGACGATTTACCGTAAAATGTACAGTTTTTTTTTTCGTGAGCATTTCGTTTTGTTTGATTTATTTGATGACTCGCAGTCGATAGCAGCAAGTACTTAGAACTACCTATACGTTCAAAAATCGAGTATTTAAGTATTCGAAAATAAATCGTGCTCGTAACATTCGAATAAGTACCAAGGAATCGTTTATTACGACACCGGTTGTATATATATAGTGACGAACCGGGTTTAATGACCTGTGCTTGAAGCACCCGGCAAAACGGTGCTGTAACTGCTCGTGCAATTATGTTTTTTTTTTTAGTATAGGTTTATTATTAATAAACATTTAATGCACATGCAGGGTGTAACACAAAGACCTGGCAGATGAACAGTTCAAAATTTATTCTAGTTAATAAAAGTATGAACAAAATTATGAAAAATGTATGAATAATAAATCATTTAAGATTCACTATTTAATTCATGAAAATTCCTAAAAAGAATATTTACTCAAAAAAATCTTGATATTTTCAAAACTTGCTAAAAAAAATTACTATACAAATAAATTTTAAAAATACGTTTGTATCATAATCATTTTTCTAAAATTTAGATTTACAAATTGTCTATTTTCATTTTTTCCAAATAAATTTATTTTCAGTTAAAATTGAAATAATACTGTATTATAACTCTTATAGCTCAAGCGTCTATAAACAATTTAAAAAGAAAATTGTATGCATTGTCTCAGAACAAAAGTTATTTGATTTTTTAGGTCATTCTGTTAATGACCACGCAGGTATATGAAAGCAGATCAAATAAATCCTAGTAGGTAAACATGATTTAAATTTTTTACAGGTTTGATTCATAGCAGATATAAAATCAAGGCAAAATATTGTATTGTGTTAGGTGTTACTATAGACATCAGCAAAGAATGGGTATAATGAAATACCACAACATTTGAATTAAAATATATGTGCCAAAATTGTGGAAAAGTTAATTCATTTAATCTAAGACCAGTTTTGGTAGGTGTAACTCGATCTTTTTTCATAAACGTATATGATTATTTTATTATATTCATTACGTACACTATTCGTTAATTTAATTTTTGTAATCTCAATTATTATAGCCTATATTTTTGTCTTTAGAATGTGATTATTATAATATACTTTTAGTTTAATCATCAACCATTGCCAATTTAAATGTTTAAAAATTCAATTTAAAATACACTTAAAATTCCAACAGTGGCGTAGCCAGGGGGGAGGCTGAGGGGGCTGCAGCCCCCTCCGAAATGTTAATAAAATTAAAA